GGGGTCAGCTCTTATATAAATAGCTGTGCAAAAAATTGCAGCCACCATACAAATAATGAGGAAGAGAGACCCCAAAGGGCCTCTTATATAGGCTAGGGAGGCAGTGGGAAGAGGGCAGAGGGAAGAGAGCAGAGGCTAGGGTCCTCTCTCTCTCTCTCTCTCTCTCTCTCTCTCACTCTCTCGAACGAGCAAAAAATTGCAGCCACCACACAAATAATGAGGAAGAGAGACCCCAAAGGGCCTCTTATATAGGCTAGGGAGGCAGTGGGAAGAGGGCAGAGGGAAGAGAGCAGAGGCTAGGGTCCTCTCTCTCTCTCTCTCTCTCTCTCTCTCTCTCTCTCTCTCTCTCTCTCTCTCTCTCTCTCTCTCTCTCTCACTCTCTCGAACGAGCGAAAAATTGCAGCCACCACACAAATAATGAGGAAGAGAGACCCCAAAGGGCCTCTTATATAGGCTAGGGAGGCAGTGGGAAGAGGGCAGAGGGAAGAGATCAGAGGCTAGGGTCCCCTCTCTCTCTCTCTCTCTCGCTCTCTCGCGCGAGCGAAAAATTTCCGGCCCACAAATGAATAATGAGCAGAGGAAGCTAGGACAGCCACTTAAGTACCTAGGAAACCGAGGGCAGAGGCTAGGGGCAGAGGGCAGAGGCTAACCCTCTCTCTCTCTCTCTCTCTCTCTCTCTCGCTCTCTCTCCTGCTCGGTTTGGGAGAAAACTGAAGCAAAAACCGAATAATGAAATGGGAACGAGGCCACAACAGCCTTTATACTAGAGCTATGGAGGCTTTGGAGGCTTGAGAGGCTAAGTCACTAGGTGCCTCTCTCTTTCTCTAATGGTCCTTGTATTGATTATAGGAAAGGTACAAAACATGCAATGTATGCTTTCTAGGACTAGGAATAGCAAACAAACAACCATTTAACTACACGTAGTGCCTGTTTCCAGATCCATGAGAGGTTCTAGCACAGTACAGCAGTCCCCAAGGTGGAGCTCGGACTGCACCCCCCCCACGGGGGGATTCTCGGCCACAGCCGCCTGACAAGACTTGATGAGGTACCCTACGGACTGTGCTCTTTGGAGAGCCACGGACCATCTCTGCCTGAAGAGGTGGAGGAATCTAGCTGCGTGATATGAGGTTGGTTGGGCGTTGAAGTGGCGCCGAGCAGCTGTATCCGCTAACAACTTCAGAAACTGTGGGACCTCGGCACAGGGGCAGCCATATGTCTCGACCGCCAAGGGAAAGAAACCGACCGTGTCAGGCCGGTTAGCGTAGTGACTGATTTTCTTGTCTGCTGCCTCCCTTGCCGCCCATCCCCTCCCTTTGGAAGCCTTGGGGTCCCTAGTGCTAATGGGGTCTGTGATAGTCACGTCGCAGGCATAGACCGCCCCTGTGCTCCTGCAGCGCATGGTGAAGTCCGCGGTCTGTTCTTCTATGGGGCAGTATGCTACTGATTCCCTGTAGACTATAAAGCCAGCGTCTTGTGCCATTGTGATGCACGCGTCCCGCAGTTTGTTGTGGGTGTTGGTTCTGTGCTTTCCTGTGCCGCAGCGGAATAGGTGGTTAGGAAGCCGTGGGTCTTTGATCTCGATGTGTTTAGAACAGTCACAGTTTTCCGGTGTGGGGAAGGGAAGCCCGAGCCTGAAGCGGACAGCGTTGGCGAAGTGCTCTGCCCCTATGCGTCGGGTTGATTCTATTGGTACTGCTGTCAGCCAGTCCCCTGTACCGTAGCCTGTCAGTGAGAAAAACCGTTGTGTATGGCCCGACAGTGGGTTTAGCCTCATGAGCCGTGTTGCCTGCACTTGCGATGCATATCTGCTGCCCTGCACCCTCACGCCGAGCTCGTGCTGCAGCTTCAAACCCTTTGGCTCTAGTCGCTCTTTGTCTAGGATGTCTCTGGCTTCCTGTGGGAGCGACGCTTCACATTCGGACAGCCAACGATGCAGGTCGGTAGATACGTCTCGCGGCAGCAGCATGTGGTCCCTGACCGCCGTCAGGGCTTCTTCCGACTCTAGCGGTAGGGTGCTAAGGAGGAGTGATGCCTGTATGAAGCTTGCTACGAAGCCAAATGTACCCTCCACCGTGGGGTCCGTGAGTCCTATGCCCCCTAATGACGGTGGAAGCGATGACTGCTCCCAGACCCGAGTTTGCTCAGTGCTGTCTGCTGGGAATCGTATGCCGCACGCCGTTAGGAGGGTGGACAGTAGGTCTCTACCCCACTGTGACCATGTACTGCCGTCCAGAAGGTGCAGTGGAGTTGTGCGTGTGAGATAGGCTACTCGGCGTGAGATACAGCGGGTGAGCAGAAGGGATGCTAGCTGTGGGTCCATCCGTTCTATCAGGGGCAGCGGCTTGGACATGGCCTGTAACTGTGCAGAGAGGAAGGAGGCTGCGCCGTCTAGTGTTCCTAGGAAGCTGCCGAGGAGCCTGACTCCATCGTTACTGGTTGGTACCCCGGGCGGCAGCTTCACTGTTTCGTCTAACGGACGGCTGCTCCATGCGGCGGATTTTCCTGGATTGTGCCGCAAACCTACTTGAGAGAGTTGGTCCGTGAAGTGGGAAAAAGCGGCGACCGTCTCTTGAGGTTTGCCCAAAAAGCTGACGTCATCGGCGTACGTCAGGCACAGTACGCCTGGATGTGCGGTAGCTGTTGCTTGTAGTGCTGGGTGAATTCCAGCCGCGAACAATAGGGGACCTAAGGGGTCCCCCTATCGTACCCCTCGTTCACTTTTCAGTGGCGTGCTACTGAAGCTAGCGTCTAGGAGCAGTGAAGACGGATGGCCGTAGGTCAGTTTCACTAGGGGCAGCAGGGGTGATAGGGCCGGTTCTTGTAATGCTGTGATTATCGCTTGTCTCGATATGCTGTTGAAAGCGTTAGAGATGTCGGTTTGCAAGACGAGGCAGTCTGGGTGTGCGTCTGTGTATGCTCGGGTGCTGTGGATGATTGCCTCTGCTCCCCCAGGTACAGCCACCCCGTACTGTAGCGGTAGAAAGTACCCCCGCGCCGCTTCGCCCAGTGCTGACAGCGCGGCCTTTGCAGCCAGTCTCATCAGACATTCACCAATTGCAATAGGGCGGGTCCCACCTTCAGGCTTGGCCAGAGCTATCAAACGCAAAGCCGTGAGCAGTTCCGCTACTTGCAGCGGCAATTTCCCTCGCAGAATTGTATTTATCAAGGCGTGCAGGTGGGTGGAGACAGCTGCATTTGTTACTGACGCATCGCGAAGATGCTCAAATGTCATCCCACTCGGGCCGGCCCCGACACCGTTCTCGCATCGGCTCAGCAGCTTCGAAAAATCCGCGTATGAGATCTCGAGGTTTGAAGGTTCGGCGGGGTCTGGCCAGGTCAGGGGGTCTGGGTCAGCTGCAGGGTGTTTCTGATGGAGCTCGACCAGTAATTCCGGGCTAGGTATACAGACTGGCGTTGACTTGAGCGCCAGCACGGCTCGGCGTAAATTTCCTTTCTTCGCGAGCCCCTCCGCCCTGCTGATGGAGCCGATCTCGTCAGGTTGATGACGTGGCGGGGGAGGCGTGTTGACTGCTTCCACAGCGTCCAGGTACAGCTGTTGCCACTCGCCTCGCTGAAATGCCCGAAGCCGGGCTTTGATTTTTGACCAATCAAGGCGCTTCGGCGAACCCTGTCGAAGTGTGAGGCGGGGGAGGAAGAGGAGTAACCGCCAGCCTGCGATTGAGTCTGGGTTCCGCGCGAGGTGTAGCAGGGGTGTCAGTAGCACGAGCGAGAAAATCTCGCATAAATTTGGCGGTAGCCGTCGTAATAGCGTGGGCTGACGACTGACGCAGAGAGGTGAGATGTCCCAGTTCGCGACCTCCACGAATTTTTCTGCCTGCCTCGCCAGCTCCTCTGGCGAGAAATATCGCGGGATTTGAAGCTGGCGAGCCGCATTCGCCTGATCCATTGCGGTTCGATTTGCACGCCCGCGGGTCGGAGCACGGGTGGGGTGCGGGGTTGGGATTGTGGCCGTCCGATCCCCATCTTGTGGCTCTCGTCCATTTCCTGCACTGCCGCTCCCCTCTGATTCCTCCCCCTTCCTCTTCCCAACTGCTCTCTCTCCTCATCCTCGCCTTCTCCATCGCTGCTGCTGCTTTCCCCGTGTGTCTCCTCCCTATAAGACGGGTCATTTCTTTCATCCCTTTCAGTATCAAGTAGCGTTAAAGCCCGTCGTCCTGCAGACTGGAACGCATTCTCCGGGCCGCCCTCTACCCCGCGTCCTTCCTGCCGTCCCGCTCCTCGTCTTCTCCTCACTCGGGATGGTGATTGCTGGCGAGTCGTGGCTAACGCCATCGCACGCTGCCGCTGTGTCAACGGTGAGCGGAAGGTCCCCGCCTGCATCAGTCTCGGGTATTGCTGCGCTGAAGCCGCCAGTCCCACCTGCCCCGAAGCCGGCGCCTCCTGCCGCTGGTGTCTCACTGCCTCTGGATCCACTCCCTGTGACGAGCGCGGCTCTGCCGTCGCCGCTGCCCGTTCCGCCTGCCCCTGTTGTCGACTTGGACCCTCCGCCTCCCGTCGAGGCTCCTGCACGCGCCGCTCCTTCTGTTCTGTCGGCTGTCCCTGTGAACACTATAGCGCCGCCTGCTGTGGCCGGCCCTGCTGTTGCTCCGCCTGTCCCGGGAGTCCCTGCCTCAGCACCCGCCGTTGTTGACCCTGTTGCGCCTGTTGCGGCCGTTGCTTCGTCGTCGATGGCGGAGTCTTCCACCACTGCCGGCCAGGCCCCGGTTGTAGCGCAGGCGGTGGCCGTTCCGACGGCTGTCCAGGCAGTTCCCGATCCTGCTCCGCCTGTCGCCGCCCCCCCTGCTCGACGTCCGCCGTCTCCGGGCCGCCGACAGCCTCGGCCCCATTCCCCTGCGCCTCGTGACGAGCGCGCGGCGTCGCGGCGGCGCCACGATTCCCCTCGGCGCCTTGGTTCTCAGGCGAACTGGCACGCGACTCGTGGCGGTCGTGGTGGGTGGTGGGGAGGGCGCGGTCGTGGTGGTGGCTGGGCGTATGAACAGCCCGTGACAATGGCGGATCTTCAGCGCGCCGTTTCTGCTGCGGTGCGCGAGGAGCGGAACGGGCAGGCGAGAGAGAGCAACTCGCCGCGTGTTGCTCCGCCCCCCGTGCATCCTCCTCCTGTTGCGCTCCCTGTGCCTGCCGCTCCGCCTCCGCCGGCAGCTGCTCCGCCTCCCCCTGCTCCCTCTGCATTTGCTGTTGCTCCGGCGAGTCATGTGGAGCCCCTACGGGTTCCTGCTGCTGGTGACGCGCTATCATTCCAGGCGTGGGCGGGACCTCCTCGCATGGCTGAGGTCCCCGAGGCGTCGCTTGGGCAGCTGTGGCGCCTCGCGGAGGGCTTGCGGGCCGCGCACCTGATCCAGGCGTACGGTCATGCAGCTCTTGCTTGTGGAGGCTCGCTAGATGGCCGCCAACGGGACGAGTGTCTTGATGCTGCTGACCGGCTCGCGGAGCTGCTGGCGCCTGTGCTGGCTGCGCCCGCGATGGGCGTAATTGCGGGTGTTGGGCAGCTTGGTACAGCTGTCCGTGGGCTACGGCGGAATTTGCGCGCAGGCTCTGGAGCCGATGTGATCGGCGCAAGCACGGCGGCGGTGCGGGAGCTGCACCGCTCTCTGACTGGGCTCCTGGCGGTTCTTGACGCGGATCAGTTCTAGTGCCTGCCTCCTCCTGCTCCATTGTTGTTTGCGTAGCTTTTAGGCAGTAGGTTTTGCCATTGCTTGTGTGCTCCTGAATATACCGACTTGTGTTTGTGGACCCTTGCCGCCCCGAATGCGCGGCCGAAGGCCGCGCTGTCGAGCGTCGGCCGCCTTCGGCGGCCGGCGCGAGCCGCTCGGTTAGGAGAGAAACCCAACCAAAAACTGAATAAAGAAGAGGCAACAAGGCCTGTTGAGGCCTTTATACTAGGACTTGGGAGGCTTTGGAGGCTAGGGGAGGCTTGAGAGGCTAAGTCACTAGGTGCCTCTCTCTCTCTCTCTCTCCTCTTCCACGAGCCGCTCGGTTAGGAGAGAAACCCAACCAAAAACTGAATAATGAAGAGGCCACAAGGCCTGCTGAGGCCTTTATACTAGGACTTGGGAGGCTTTGGAGGCTAGCGGAGGCTTGAGAGGCTAAGTCACTAGGTGCCTCTCTCTCTCTCTCTCTCTCCTCTCCCGCGAGCCGCTCGGTTAGGAGAGAAACCCAACCAAAAACTGAATAATGAAGAGGCAACAAGGCCTGCTGAGGCCTTTATACTAGGGCTTGGGAGGCTTTGGAGGCTAGGGGAGGCTTGAGAGGCTAAGTCACTAGGTGCCTCTCTCTCTCTCTCTCCTCTCCCGCGAGCCGCTCGGTTAGGAGAGAAACCCAACCAAAAACTGAATAATGAAGAGGCAACAAGGCCTGCTGAGGCCTTTATACTAGGGCTTGGGAGGCTTTGGAGGCTAGGGGAGGCTTGAGAGGCTAAGTCACTAGGTGTCTCTCTCTCTCTCTCTCCTCTCCCGCGAGCCGCTCGGTTAGGAGAGAAACCCAACCAAAAACTGAATAATGAAGAGGCAACAAGGCCTGCTGAGGCCTTTATACTAGGACTTGGGAGGCTTTGGAGGCTAGGGGAGGCTTGAGAGGCTAAGGCACTAGGTGCCTCTCTCTCTCTCTCTCTCTCTCTCTCTCTCTCTCTCTCTCTCTCTCTCTCTCTCTCTCTCTCTCTCTCTCAAGTAGTCATGTATTGATAGTGGTCATGAGGTACAGACATGGCAGGAGGTGGTTGTAGCTAGTCTGTCTAAGCATGTAGGCAACCAGGTACCAAGAGCTAACAAACCAACAAAACATGCAAGCCAATATGCAAACAAGCGAGCAAAGCAAAGCAAAGCAAGCAGTGCAAGCCGAGCAGCCATGCCGTGTGTGTACACCCTAGTCCCCTAGCACTGAAACATGCTGGCCAGCAGCAACACCCGACCCCGAATACCTCCCTCTCCTCCCGTCCTGTGGCTCCCTCCTACCATACCATAGTCCCCCTGCCCCCTATCCTCCTCCCTGCAACTTCCTCTCATCTTCCTTCCGCCGCCCTCTCTTTTTCCCTTTTGCCCCTCTAAGCCGCTCAGGCAGGAGCCTCCCGCTCCTCATACTCATCCTCAGCCATCTGCCAGAGGTCCCCTAGCCGTGGGGCCCAGGGGTCTCCCGCAGCCTGTGGGAATGCCGCTTCAGCTGCTCGGTTGGTCTTGGAGAGGAGTGAGATGGCTTGGCTGCGCTGCAGCATCACCGACCACCTCTGTCGGTAGTGTGCATTGAGCCGAGCGGCAGTTGTTGTGAGGCGCCCCTGTCTGAACCTCACTGCGTGGGTAGCAAGCATGCGAAGGAAGTGGACTGTGTCCGCCGCCATGGCCCCGTAGGTCTCGACAGCCAGCCCAAAGAATCCGGCATAGGTGGGGCGCCCTTCATAGAGCCGATGCTTCCTCTGTGAGGCTTCCTCCGCGGCCCACCCAGGCGGCCTGCGGGCCCTGCTGTCTCTGTTCTGTAATACTGGGTCCGTCACGGTGACATCCGTCACCCATGTTTCCCCTGACTCCTGGTCCCGTATCGCTAGGTCTGCTCGTTTCCTGAGGACTGGCGGTGAGAATGCTGAGGTCTCATGAAACGTTTTGTAGCCCGCTTCATTAGCCATCCGCAGCGCCGCGTAGACTAGGGCGTTGTGGGTTCTGACTGCATCGCCCCCGTCCTGGCAGCGCAGCAGGTGGTTCGGCAGACTCTTGTCCCCAATCGCTAAGTTGTCACGTTTGCACGGGCACACCTCAGCTACTGGCAACTCCATGCCCAAGCGTAGGCCCAGGGCCAACGAGAACTGACCAGGGGAAATAGAGAGGTCAGCTCTCGTTGGTACCGCGTGTAGCCAGTCGCCCGCGCCAGTCCCTCTCAGGCTTATCAGTCTCAGCGCGTGACCCCTGTTGGTGCCAGGCCTGTCCACCACCGTGTCCCCCAGGAGCTCGACCGCGCGCTGCTGGTTGATGATTTTGGAGAGGCACAGCTGCAGGCTGCCTGTGCCCTTGTTCCCCGTCCTGTAGGCTCCCAGCGCCACCTGTGCCTGAGCTGGCAGCCCCTCCTCTAAGCTCGACAGTGTGCTGCTGTCCGGCAGTGGTGGGCTCCAATCGTGGGAGAGCAGGGCCGTTGCTCTGTGTAGCAGGCAGTCCGGGGGAAGATTCAGGTGCTGGAGAAGGGTGTGCGCTGCCGTGACAGAAGCAATGTAGGTAGCCGGGGCCTCCGAGACAGGGTCAATGATTCCTAAACCACCCAGCCGAATCGGGAGGGTAGCCTGTCGCCACAGTAGGCTCTGCTCCAACTCCGAGTTGGGGATGCGAAGCTTTGCAGCTGTGAGCGCCGAGCCAACCAATGCCTCACTCCAGTCCCTCCACTCCTCTGCGCCCAGGGTCGTCGCCGGCGTAGTCCTCAGCATGTATGAGATGCGGCGAGAGATGCTGCGGGAGACTATAAGCATGGCATGTTGCGGGTTGAGCTGAGAGACAAGGGGAAGGGGCGAGGCAGCTTCCTCCAGTGCCGCCCGGACTTGGGTGGTGCAGAAGTCGTTGCTGCCGATAGGACTGCCAAGGACCCGTATCCCGCCCGGGTCTGCAACTAAGCCTAGTGGTAGCTCCTCGTTCTCTCCGTCGTGCGCCGCTCCCCACGCCGATGACTTTGAAATGTTGCAGCGTAGTCCATATTCTGCCAAGTCATCCGCTATCTTGGTGAAGGCACGGCACGCTACTTCCCGCTGGCCGATAATGGTGATGTCGTCCGCGTAGGCTACCACTGCCACTTCCGGTGTTGTCGCTGAGACGCTCATGAGGGCTGGCTGGATCGCTGCCGCAAACAAGAGAGGGCCCAAGGGATCTCCCTGTCTGACGCCACGTGAGCTCTGGATTTGGTCTACTCCCAGTCGAGCATCTACGAGCAATGGCGATGGACCGTCGTACAGGTTTCGGACAAGGGGAAGTAGCGAGCTCAGGTTGGACCACTGCAGCGAGCCTAGGAAAGCCCGTCGCTCGACACTGTTAAAAGCGTTTTCGATGTCTAGCTGGAGGGCAATGCGGGTCTTGTCCTCACGGAGTAGAGAGCGGACGGTATGGATGATGCACTCCGCACCTCCTGGAACTGCCACGCCAGACTGAACTGGTAAGAAAAAATCCCTAACCTTGGGCCCAAGGGTATGCAGCGTCGCCTTCGCCACTATGCGTAGCAGGGTTTCGCCTATTGCTATAGGCCGCACTCCCCCATTCGGCTTCTCTAGAGCGATCAGACGGGAAGGCAGTAGCAATTTCCTTACGTGGGAGGCCTGGAAAGTGCTGAGCAGCCGATTTACCATCTTGGCGAAAAACAGCAGCAGCTCTTCGTTAGCTAGGGCGGGGTCTCGGAGGTGTTCAAAACAAGTACCAGAGGGTCCCGCCCCAACACCATTCGGGCACTTCGCCAGGATTTCGCGAAGCGAGTCCAGCGAAACCGCCAGTTCTGACTCTGTGATTCCGGTAACCCACGCTGGTATCTGGCTACCCGCTGCAGGGTGTTTCGCTTGCAGAGCTTCAAGTGTAGCCGGGGTTGCTTCTGCTAGGGGGGACGTTCGCAGAGCCGCTACCGCTTTCGAAATGTTTCCTTTTTTCACTAACCCCTCCGCTCGTGCACAAACCCCTTCCTCGTCAGGCTGGTGCCGTACCGGGGCTCCTGTGTCGGGGATGACTCCTGCTTCCTCGAAGAGCTCGGACCATTCGCCTCGTTGGAATTTGTGCAGCCTAGCTTTAATCGCTGCCCAGCGACTCCCCAAGACAGGTTCGGGCGCAGGCCTGAGGGTGAGCCTCGGAAGGAACAGCAGCACCATCCAACCACCTGGGCAGCTGGGATTTTTATCCAGGCGAATGAGTGCTGCCAGCATGCACAGACAGTATCTGTCCAGGAGGTGTGGTGGCAGCCGGCGGACGAGGAATGGCTGGTCCCCTCGCTGAAGCACGTCTACATTCCACTCCCCCGCCATGTGCCAGATGGCGTCGTCGCCGGCCAGGTCGGCCGGCGAAGGCACGTCAGTCTCCTCCGTGGCAGGTGCTCCTCCTACCGCTGGGTTGCTAGGAATACCCCCCCCCCGCCGCCCCGGTTTGAGGTTCAGGGTTGTTCCTCCTCCTGGGTGCCTCCTCGTCTTCCAACGAGATTTCTTCAGAGGTCTCCTCCTCCCCCGCCATAAACTCTGGGTCGGCCCCGGGATTGTCAGAAGCTTCTTGTCGCTCATTCGTCTGCAGGATCACTCTTTCGGGCCTGGCGTGACGCTCCCGCCAGGGACCAGTCCTCGCGGGGATTTCCGATCTGGGTGGTTGGTTGCGCCCTCCCCGTCCGCCTCTCATCCCCCCGCGCAAAACCCCTCGTTGTCCCCGCCCAGCCGCGCCCGCCGTTTCCGCCACTCCGTTGCCACCGCGGCCCGCCGGCATCCACGGCGTACGGCCATCCCGTGGTGGTCCCCAGGTTATCGCTCCCAACCGTGCCGACCGCCTGGTCCCTACAGCCGCCGCCGCTACGTTCGTGCCTGCTGCTGCTGCTGTTGTACCTGTCACCGCCGGCTCCCCATTGTTACTGCCGACCTGAATTCCCGGCGCCTGCGTTGGCGCAGCCTGCGTCGTTGTCTGCGCGGCGGAATTCGCCACAGACGCTCCGA